ATGCTCTTCATGTTCATGTTCATGTTCTTCATGTTCTTCAAAAAGAAACCCAAAATTTCCAGACTCCATTTCCTTGAATGTGGTCATCGGGACCACACCTCAGCCAAGAGGTGTGGGACCTCGGCCAAGACTTAGTTGGTACCCAGCATGTTTTTTCGAGATGAGAAACAGTGTTTTAACTCCCAGCACGTGTTTTGCTTTGTCTTGACTTAGTTTTGAAAGAAATGTCGAGATCATTTACACTCATGAAAAGTTTGTTTTAAGAATGCATTTCATACCCATCTTTGAGCATCTCTTCTTGTCTTCTTGAAGTGCATTCAGTGGACTTTGCCATATATTTGTAGGTCTTGGATTCTTGCCTTAATCCCTACACCCGAAGAGCCATATGAGTGGTATTTTTAATAAAGCTATGTTACAAAGTTTTGATAAAGCTTAGCTTCATTTTGGAAAAGTATTTGATCAAGCATGAATGATTATCCCTAGTTTTGTATCAAGTATTATCTTGTTTTGATGACATTTTTAGAAAGTCCTTAGTGCTAGGGGACTATAATGCAACTAGCGCGTTTGTTTGAGATATCTCCTTTGTCTTGCCACCAACGGTTTACTGCGTGGGTTTGTCTGGAATGTCATCCATTGTATTATGTAGATGCTAGTAAGCATCCCTTGAAGATTTGAAAGACTTGATAGATGAACTCGGTTCATCTCTTGGTTTTGTACAAGATATGATATGTATTGTTTTGATAAAGATTTCGGATATCATTCATTTTAAACCTTTATTTCTAACATCATTCACTGAGTATCCAAGCTCACCCTCTCCTTATATATATGTAAGTGACGAGCAAGAAGGCGGTGACGCCTAGATGTGTTTTGCAAGATGTTTTTGAATTCATGTTTTTGCTAGCATCTTGAAGATTATTCTTATTGGCTTTATATTGCATGTTTTTTGTATATGTCAAATTGAGGAGCCTTTTGATCAAGATGTAATATTTAGTTTTAATTTATTTGTATTCAAGTTGTAAAACCGTGTTATGTATGTCATTCCATTTGGTCTATGCATAGCTTTTATGGACTATTTAGATTTAAATTTGTTGCTTCCGCACATGTAAGCCCCATATGTATACTCTGATTGTATGTGACTTTGTAAATTGGCCTTTGGTAATCTCGGATTACTGGCTATCATGGCACCATTTTACTAGGGGCGGAATGGGGCCGTGACAAAAAATCCTTTGAAACCTAGGCTTGGCTTCATCTATTTCATGCTCTTTATTTTCTGATTCTTCATCATCTTCCTTGACTATGATAGGTGTCCCTGGAATAGTTCTTTTTATCTCTTCACAGTAATCCTATAACTTGGCATATTGTTCTATGAGGCTTCCCTTTATCAATTCTTGTGCTTTTCTCTTTGTCTTATACACTTGGCTCCTGGATATACCAACCTTGTGATCCTTTTGCACAGCTTGCTTAAATGACTGGACTATAATAGATGGATTGGACTTTAATGTCTCCAAGTACTTCTTAGATAGCCAAGTAGAATTCACTTGTCTATTATAAATAATTTTGCCACAATTGTGAGTGGGGACATATGTCTTTATCTGGAATGATGTTTGTCCTTGCATCTTGGATGCATAAAGCATCCACTCACATGGTGGCTTACAGGTAGCCCTAACCCTCATGCTATCATTTTTGACTAACTTAATAGCCTTTCCAGTCTTAATACCATGCTCCTTAACAACAGCTTTGAATATTTTGGCAGTGCCAAAAACCATGCCAACCTTGAATTGTGGGTCTGCTATATCTATGTTTGGATTAAACTCTGGGAATCTAACCCTATTGCTTCAAGCCTCTTCATTAGAAGATCCATTAATGCTCTTCAGGTTATCAGATATAGCATCAGGTTCTAGGCAGTCAATATGAGGTACTCCAACCCTTTCATCATTATGCTTCTGCCTCTCTAACCCACCCCATTCAACATTCCTATCAACATTAGCATTAAATAGTATGTCATCCTTATTAAAATCATGGTCACTATCCTCAAACTCCTCTAGATCTGTAGAATAGTTGGATGAATCATGACTTTGCCTTTCAACTTTAACTTCAACCTCGCCGTCACCCTCCGTATTACTTGTGCCACTTTCAATTTCCTCAATGACAACTGATGCATAGTGAAAGGGATTAAATTCTTTAAGCTCAAGCAACTGATCATTAGGGATGTGCTCTAAATACGCTTCAATTATCCTACTTATATGCACCCATTTCACCATATCCATTACATCACTATCATTCCTAAGTGGCCTTAATCCATAATTTAAGTCTCTACCAGGCACTCAATAATGGTATGAAATGAATTCAGTATAACCTAACTTTTGAGCCATATCCTTTATCTCTATCAACCTCATTTTGTCAGCATCACAGTTGTCCCAAAATGATCATTTCCCTCTTACGTTAGCCCTATTTACTAAAGACTTAAAAACCCCACCATGATGCATTTTGATAGCAAAATAATCACCATCTGGATCTGAAATAGAAGATAACATATTTATTGTATGATCCACAATACAGGACAAGGGGGACCACAACATATTATATATACATCAAATATAGATATTGATTAATTTTTTTGTCAGTGTGAAGTTGTGTAGATATGTCAACATGCGTGACTATATAAATATATATTCACCTCGTCACTTTCAAACAAAACAAAGCAAAAGTAGATTCTTTGACCTACCTAATGATTCAACTTGCAGGCAGATAAAATAAAGCAAAATACAAAACCAAAAAAAAAAAAGGTAAAGAATACTTTTTTGCTTACCATAATATGATATTTCATCACCAATCCTCACAATCGCCATGTTCATCTTTTTGCCTCGTCAATCGTTTTCTTCTCTATCCACGCCAATTTCAGCAGATTTACAGTCAAACAATTTTTTGGTAACTCAAAACCCTAGAAACGATTCGATTGTGTAGAGAGAGAATGGACTTGCTGATTTGGAGAAGATACAAGTATAGGGACGATGGAGGTAACCTAGGGTTTGAGGTGAAAAAGGCGAGTGTGCCCCTTAGGCCTCGTTTAGGAACAGGCTAATTTAGTAACTTTTTGGCTACATGGCTAAAATATGAGCTAAAAAAAAATAGTATGTTTGTGATAACTTTTTGACTTTTTACGAAAAGATGTGCAAAAAGTAGAGAGAAAAAAGAATCTTTGACTTTTTGGTATGAGTTGTTGGCTTTTTGGCTAATTTAGTAACTTTTTGACTTTTTGGCTAAAAAGTTCGGTTACTAAACGAGGCCTTAGTAATTGCTAGAGGGAGCACATGAGAGGCAGGTGCTGGTTTTTCGTCCATAATTTCAAACATGCATCAATTATTGGACGAAATTAACATACTTCGTTAAATTAAGGGGCTAAATCGAGCAATTTGAAATGTCAGGAACCAAAATGACACACAAGGTAAAGTACAGGGACTATTTGTGTAATTTGCCCTAAATAATATACATGTATACATATGTAATATAATTAGATATAAAAAAAAAACACTAAAAGTATATGGTTTTGTTTTAATATAAATAAATAATAATACTAAAAGTTTCACTGTTTATATATATGGAAATAAGAGAAATTATTTAGTGTGTTAAGAATTTAAATGATTCTCAATTTTTTTAGCTATTTGAAATGTGGTTGGGTATTCGCTGGGGTGGAAATGGGGTTAAAATTTTTTACCCGTAACAGGGTTGGGGTTGGGGCGGGAGCGAGGATAGGGGATGACAAACCCGCCCCGTAACCATCCCTAATGGGTGGTGATGGGTTGGCGTTGCTGGTGGTAATCCTAATGGGTGGTGATGGGTTGGCGTTGCTGGTGGTAATCCTTGGCATGATTGTGGGGTAGTCAATGACATTGGCCTGTGGTGGCCATGGAGTGAGTTCTACATTAAGTTTGTGAATAATTCTAAAAGCTCACATTTTTAGATCTACAAATTCACTTCAATGATATGGTAAGGAAGTTAGATTTTATATAATTAGATGTGTAATAAATTAAAAATTGATATATATGATATCATATCATTGTAAAATACAATTGTAAGGCTCAAACATTTTCCAAACTGTAATTTATCAAAATTTTGAAGCATTTTAGCTCACATCCAACTTGAAGGACAAGCATTTTAAGTTTGTTAGACAATTAAATGTTGGTTTATTATGTGAAATATTTTTAAAACTCATTTGCCATTTGTTTGTCTTTTTTTTTTTTGTTTCTTTTTGGGGAAATTACCAGGGAGTTTTTAAAAAAATATTACACATTAGCAAATTTTTTTTTTATAAATTTAATAATTAATATATATCATTTTTTTATAATTTTTTTTCTGACATAAACTATGATGTAATTCTCCGTTTCTTTTTTCTATTTGAATTTAAATTTTTTTTGAATTCTAAATGTCTGATTTTTTTATCAAATATGTCTGTTTTGTGAAATTTGTTTTGAAAATATTTCAAACTAGATTTATATTAAATATAAATTTTAATAATTAAAATTTTATTTTCTTTTGAAAAAATCAAAACTTCTAAAATACTCACTTAATTTAACCATACATGTTAATTTTTAATATTTGTTACAAATCCAATAATTAAATTGAATGGTGGATTATGTGAATCTCTAGCATTTTCTCCTCTTTCGGTTTTTTTTTTTTTTTTTTTTTTTTTATACTAAAAATAAACAATCTCTCTAAAATTAATGTTTTACTGTTGTTCAATTACACAATATAAAATTTATTATACAACAGTTAAATCCGAACATCACACAATTTATTTTATGTAAAATTCTTGCTATGAGACAAAATAACAATTTAAAATAGCAAGCAAAAAAAAAAAAAAAAAACTGATAAAAAAAAAAAAAAAAAAAAAAACTGATGAATCCCAAAAAAACATAAGAACTGCGAAAATTAAACACTGAATTTTTTTTAAAAAAAGAAAAGAAGCTAAAACCATAATTTCAAATACTAAAACAATTTCTTCAAAGTTTGAGATTCAAATCAAGATCAGGATCATCATCCGGAGGATTACTTTCCGAAAATCCGAGTCGGTTCCAAAGATTCTTCTCACCATGATCAGTAGTTGTGATTGCAGTACTTGCTGCTGAAGAACCATCACCACCTCCAAAGTTGTGAAACCTAGAAGTGGATGACCCAACAGCAGCAGCACCACCACCACCAAACCCACCAATATTATTATGTGCCTGAAACCCTTCCATCATTCTTAGCCGATCAAAGGTCGACGATTGTGATTGTGGGTTCACCACAAACGAGGTTGATGGCCTAGGTGGCCACCCGTCGTGTCCTAAATACCGGTACCCTGGGGGCGACGACGAGGTCCATGGAAAAGAGGGAGAGGAGGGTTTGTGTATCATGGAGTCCATTCTAATCCCGAGTGGAGATCTGTTAAAGGAAGACGGGATTTGAAAAGGATAAGATGAATAAGGAGAATAATAAGGATACGGTGGTGGATGCCCAAATCCATAAGGTCCTACATCCATACTATTGTGTCGCCTTTTTGCAAGTGCACGCTCTTGTTTGTGGGCATTTTGGTGCCCTCCCAAAGCCTGAGAAGTCGAAAACTCTCTCTTGCAGTAGTTGCACGAGAAAATCCTAATTTTTGACGACTCACATACTTGGGAAGAACCCCCATTCGAGCTGTTGAAAATATCGACTTCTGGCTTCGACCCATGATCTCTCGTATCGTCCTCATCATCGTCACCATTGTTGTTTGAGAGCTTGAGATCAAGCAAAAGGTGCGATTTTGATTTATCGGACCCTTCAACATGGTTTTTCTCTTTCATCATCATTTTCGTCTTCATCTCCTCATCTCTGCCTTCGTGCGAAGCAGCGGAGATACTGGAGGCCTCGGAGGGACATGGCTGGTCGGAACCGGGAGCTTCCATGGCAGTATCACACAACACAACAATGCCTTTTGGAATATGATGAATGAAAAGAGCAATGTGATGGTGCTTAAATAAGAAGAGAGAGTTTAATGCTGAATCCCTAAATGTATGGAAAGATATCTCTGTAGCACAATCATTGCATAACTGTTATGTAAGCAAATTAGCCAGTAGATGACAGTGCTTGCTGTGATCTTTGTTTCTTCACAAAGCTTGTAATACATGCAATATTTCCAAAAAATATTACTTTAACTACTATTTTTGTATCTCACATTAAAGTCGTATTAACTCTCCCTATTACATCGTCGTTGCCAAAAAAAAAAATGTAGTGTGAATAGATGCGTTGACCCATTACCCTAAAAAAAAATAAAAATTCCCATGTTTTTAAATACCGGGAAAAAGTGAAAAAAAGACAGTACAAACGAAAGAATATCTTGCCATGTCAACGTAAAAGAAAAATAATTAAAAAGACACATCAAATCATAAACAATATAGAGGCTTGAAGTTTAATTGGTTTTTTAGTTTTTTTTATTTTTTATTTTAACCCGACTAAAAAAAGTATTTTTTTGAAAAGTTTGTTGACTTTTTTTTTTTTTGGTAATTGATTTGATAGTTGTAAGAAAAAAAAAATTATGATTTGAATATGGTATTTTTTCTTGTTAACTATTTTAACCTATTATATCCTTATTATCTATTTTAACATCTAACATACTTTCCAAACACCCCTAGAGTTTATTATAACAATATTAAACACCTTTTTTTTTCCTCAATGATTTGAGTAATTGGATTTTGTTACCTAAGTATCTTCATGATGAGAGCAAGTTTTTAATGATATACCAAATTAATTCAAAAAAAATATGATGGTTATAACTCAAATTTCACATATAGCATTGTTGTAATGAATGCCATATTTTTAGTTCTAGAGACTATGGAAGTACATACAAGGACCTAATGGTTTACTTTCGTTGCCAAAATTAAGAATACTAGTAACAATTAATAAGTACCGAATGTTTATAGACTTTTTAAAACCGGGGGTTCCCATGTTAGTAAGGCTTATGGCAACATAACAAAAACAATGATAAACTGGCCTACGATAGTTTGATCAACGTCTCAATAACACTTGACTGAATAAATGAGTTACAAGGTGAATTGTTCTCTCTAATGAGAGGGTAAAAAGCGTAAGTCTGGGTCGAGCTAGGACTAGGAAGAAGCACGCCGAGCTATGGGCTGAGTAGAATGGGCTTTGCCGCTGGGCTCTGTTAGCCCGATCATGGATGACTGAAGTTAGCTTGGTTCGAGTATTCTGAACTGGGGTACAAGGAGTTGCGTTGTGCAAACAAGTTGATACCGAGCTACGTAAAGCAAGGTAGAACCGAGCTAAGGAAAGTTCGGTGAAACTGGCCACGTCAGCATATGTTAGCCCAGTTGCTTTGTTATTCAACCGTGGTAAAACCATCTCACTTGGTTTAAGCAGTGAGGAAAGTATGGAAAGCATTATCTTCCAAGAGTGTAATTCTAGGAGGACTCTACATTGAGGAGTAAGAGTCCTACTAGGATTATGCCAGGCAAAAACTATAAAAGCTCATAATAGAACCTATGTACAGGTATCACAACTTTGATTCTCGAATACACAGAACTTTTGTCTATTTGTCTATTTTGCTGACTTAGGCATCGGAGAGGTATCCGGCACACACTCGCCGGCTAGCTCACTTTTGTGCTTTCAGGAGGTAAAGCAATGACGTTTGGAGGAGCGCAAACTTGATCAACAAGATTCTATGAGAAGATTATTTCGTACTCATACAATTGGCGTCGTCTATGGGAATTTCACAAAGAACAAAACTACTTGATCAAGCTTTCCTCTCTAGTTGGAAGCAATGACGCACAATGAAGACTCGCCGCAATCTGTTATTGATGGGCAAACCCCGGAAGGGGCTGGGAGGCGCGAAGGATTGCCTTCTGTCCCACCTATGGTAGATTTAGAGCACCAACGACGGAACTCCAAAAGGGACGCAAGGGAGAGACGGGGCACAAGCCCCTGTCACTCTCAAAGCCCTGAAAGGCAGAGGCGAAGGTTGGACCCTCAAGTTCTGGAGGATCGCGGAAAGGAGCATGACGAGTTAATTAGGAAGATGGCGGCAAACATGGAGACAATGAAGCGCCAGATAAAAGGGAAAAGGGTGGCGATAGGAGAGTGGTGCAAAGGCAACACGCCCCCTCGCCACTCGGAGGATCGTGATAGGCATACCACACCATCACAAGCAGAAAATAGGAGCATTAGAACAGGCGATACTCAATCGAGGACTTCCAGGACTCATTACTCTAGGTCTGAGAGAACGAGAACTGAGAGGTCGTGTACTGAGGGAAGCACCTATCGGCCCTTACACACACACGAAACGACATCCAAGCACACAGAGTTGCCTAGGTCAGCAGACTTACGAACAATACTTGAGGAGAGGGCCCGATAGAAGGAGGACACTAGGGCTCGCAACCCATGCAGAGTTTTAGCACTACAACGACTGGCCCCTAGGATACATGGAAGTGCCGAAGTAGGGATGCCAATGCCTCGCCTTGCTTACAAACTAGCGGATAAGGTATTAGTAAGGTTGCAGAGCTCACTGTTTATTTCGGCAATAGAGAACGCACCACTACCTTCGGCCTTCCACCAGCCCAAATTCACCACTTATGAGGGGAAGACAGACCCCTACATGTACTTGAGCCACTTGAGCTAGGTTATGGCAGTATACCAGCGGAATGAGGCCCTGATGTGTATCCTATTCCCATCCAGCCTTGGCGACCTAGGTCTAACCTGGTTCGAAAGGTTACCAGAAGGCAGCATCGCTTCCTGGGCACAATTGGCAGTAGCGTTCGTGACTAGGTTCAGAACAAACACCAAGACACCAGTGGAGATCGATCAGCTACTCTCCATCAACATGGGCGACAAGGAGACGTTGAAATCCTACAATGGTCGATATTGGGAGACTTTCAACAAGATAGGAGATTGCCCCACAAATCTTGCCATCGCGTAATACAAAAGCGGTCTACCAATCGGAAACAAGTTGAGGGACTCAATTACTATGATGCCACCCCTCACGATGAAGGCCCTAATGGAGAGGGTGCACCAACATATCCGCGTGGAGGAAGATAGCGCCCGGGCTAAAGCAAAATCTGGCTCAACAGTAATGCCAGACAAAAAGACTGCAGCAAAAGTCTACACGGTAGAACAACCTAACAGGAATGGGCGAGGCAGACGAGGCAACATGGAGGACCCAGAAAAAATGAGGTTAAGAGTTCGCACTGCCATCACCACCGTGTTCAATAAACCCATCTACCAAATTCTCAGCGAGATAAAGAATGAACCCTTCGTTTGGCGGTTAGCCAAGTTGGAAGTAGCACAAAGAGGCTACGACGAGGGGTCCCGCTGCACCTTCCATGATGAGAAGGGGCACCTAATTGAAAATTGCACACCTCTGAGGCAACATCTACAAGAATTAGTAGCTGCTAGTCACCTAGACTAGTATATTGAAGGGGGAACACAACCTACCCCCCAGGACCTTAACGGGCCAAACAGGATGCCGGTGAACGGACCACCCCAAGGCGTAATAAATGTTATTCATAGGATCATTGAACCTAAGCGGGTTTGTGAACTCAGGGGGATGGTAAAGAAGGCAAAGCACCTGAAGGAGGTGCTAAGTGCATAACCCGCCTTCAAAAAGGGCAAAACAGAGGCTACGAACGTCATATCCTTCTCAGACAAGGACCTAGCAAGGCTACATTGCCTTCACAATGACGCACTGGTGGTAACTTTGCGCGTCAAGAACTTCGACATCAATCGAATCCTGATTGACCAAGAAAGTTCGTGCGAGATAATGTATTATGAAACCTTCAAACAGCTGAAACTAGGGGACAAAGACTTGGCCCCTGCAACATCCCCCCTAGTTGGCTTTAACTCCATGCCAGAATGGCCAGTAGGCAAGATAATCCTCCCAGTCAAAGCTAGGACCATGACTAAACAAGTAGAATTCTGAGTATTGAAGGTCCCTTCCACTTATAACATAATCTTGGGAAGAACATAGCTGCACGCCATGCGATCGGTAGCGTTAACCTACCATCAAGCATTGCGGTTCCCCAACGAAGCCGGAGTAATTGAAGAAGTCTTAGGAGACCAAATCATGTCAAAACAGTGCTTTGTTACAGTAAATGCCAGCCGGACTGCAAAAGGATATGTACAGATGGTAGAAGAGCTAGAGAGCAATGAACTATTTACGGATGTTGGCAAGGCAGTAGAACAGAAGGCAATGGAAGACTTGGTAGAGGTAAGGATAAATAAAAAGAACCCAGAAAAGTTTTTTTGCTCGGCTCGTCGTTATCCAGCACTGAGAGAATAAAGATCATAGAATTCTTAGCCTCTAATATCGAAGTGTTTGCATGGACACCATACGACATGCTTGGCATTGACCCAAACTTCATCTGTGACCAACTAAATGTCCACCCAACTGCTAGACTAATTATACAACGTACTCGCAGATTAGCACTCCACCACGTGGAGATAGTGACGGAGGAAGTGCGAAACTTGCTAGAGGCAGGAGCCATCAGAGAAGTACACTATCCCAGGTAGATATCCAATACTGTAGTAGTGCCAAAGAAGAATGGAAAATGGCGTGTTTGCGTGGACTACAAAACTGTCAACATGCATGCCCAAAGGATAGTATTCCCTTACCCAGGATAGACCAACTGGTAAACTTGATGGCAAGGCACAATCAACTTAGCTTTCTTGATGCGTATAGAGGTTACCATCAAATCGCTATGTATGAGCCAGACCAGGAGGTCACATCTTTTACAACGCCCAGAGGATTGTATTGTTACAAAGTCATGCCCTTTGGCCTAAAAAACACAGGGGCCATATTCCAATGGATGGTCACCAAAATGTTTGAACCATTGTTAGGCAAAACAATGGAGGCTTACATAGATGACATGGTGATCAAAAGCAAAGATGAGAAAGACCA